TTTGTAAAGCGTCTCGAGAGAACACTTGTTATCATTTAGCGCTCTACAAATATGATTGATTGATTGATTAGTCCATGTTTATGTTTTTAGTTTAATATTTATGGTGTTTCTGACTTTTAGATACAGGATACACTTCAATGAAAGAAATACAAACTGGAGGTGGGTTTTATCCTTACAGAATGGTGCATCTTGTTTCCAGGCGACATATAGTCACCACAGTTTGTCATTACCATTTTTATAGCATCTTGAGCCCTCATGGACTCAAACACTGTCACAGTCTGTGAGGGTTCAGAGTTTCAGGGTGGAGTTTGGGATGATCCTACTTTCCTCTAAGGCACCTGTCGAGTAACCAGACATTCCTGCTCTTCCTCTCGTACTGCTCCAGAGACTCCCCTCGCTCTCTCCCTCTCCTCCTGCTCGTGTAGCGAGTTCTGCCCCGTGTTCTTCCCGTGCTGCTCCTTCAGGTGGCGCCGTAGAGCTGGCTTGTGGGCGAAGCGGGCGTGGCAGTACGCGCAGCGGTGCGGCCGCTCGCCGCTGTGGAGGTTCATGTGGTCGATCAGTGTGGATTTCTGGGTGAACGTCTTGTAGCACAGGGGGCACTGGTGGGTTTTGCCGCCGCCCCTGTGCACGGCCATGTGTCGGGTGAGGTTGGCGGCGTGGTGGAAGTGTTTGCCGCAGCAGGGGCAGGCGTACAGCAGGTGGGTGGAGCGCGAGTGGAGAGCCAGGGAGTGAGGGGAGGGGAACGTCATGCCGCAGTGCTCGCAGATCACAGGCCCGGACACACTTGAAGTGGATCCCACCACCGCCACAGACTCGTCCCCTCCCTCGTTTGTGCCTACAGTCGTCAACACTGAACCCCCCTCCCCAGCACCACAGTTAGACTCTTCCAGGGCATACTGGCTCAAACTGTTGGCACACATTGCTGACAGCTTCTCTCCTTGATTATCACCTATTCCGAAGTCTAACTGTGGGAGTTCAACTGATACATAACCTTCTTTTTTAAGCCCGTCCAGGCTGTAGTCCAGCCCTAAACTACCCCCCATCCCTGCAGCTGCCAGATACCACAACTCCTGGTGCTGATCCAGACCAGGAGCCCTTTTCTCCAGTGATGACATCCACCTCCTCCTCTTAAAACCCCGCCCCCTGCTTTTCCCTCTTCCCCGGCCAATAGAAGGGTCTGGCAGCCTGCGCTTAAAAGTACGGAGCCCCTCGACTGAAAGCCCCCCGATACCGACATCATCTTCTGTTGGAGTCGAGTCAAATTCTCCTCCCTCCCCTCCGATCAAGACGCCGTCCGTCTCTGGGTAACACACATCCTGAGCTCCATCAGAGGGAGCTCCTCTCTCCTCTTCTCTGTCTCTGTTCAGCTGCTCCTCTTCAGAGATGTACACTCTGAACACATCGTAGTCCTCCTGTCTCGCCTCTTCCTCCTCGTCTGATCCACTAACCTGGAACAGAAATGGAAACTGATCAGATCAGGTCTATGAAATATCTTTAAAAAAAGAGTGAAAAATTGGCAGTGAACTTCGATACAATGTCGTCATCTATCTACTGTGAAAACAGTAAACCTTGTTTGATATTAAACAGAAAAACAGCGAAGCAGGGGCAGGCGTACAGCAGGTGGGTGGAGCGCGAGTGGAGAGCCAGGGAGTGAGGGGAGGGGAACGTCATGCCGCAGTGCTCGCAGATCACAGGCCCGGACACACTTGAAGTGGATCCCACCACCGCCACAGACTCGTCCCCTCCCTTGTTTGTGCCTACAGTCGTCAACACTGAACATATCTTTGTGATTCTGCCCCACTTTGATCCTTCAAAACAAACATAAAAATTGACCCTTTTGATTTCTCTTTACAGCCTGTAGAAGCCTCTGCAGTGTGGTTGCTGTCCTCTTTACACCTTTTAATCATCTCACACTGTCCTCTGTTCAGCCCTCTTTTAACACTGATCCCCTACAGGGAGTATTTATGAATCGATATCAAAGTCCTTCAGGAACAAAGGACTGAAATAGAGCTCTTTCTACCATCTGTTTGTCCAAACAGTAGTCAGGATAAAAGCGTGTCCTTATCTGAGGTCATGGCATCGAGGCTGTTGAGACCAGCAGGCACATTTGTTCCCTCTTCTATCACACTGTATGACTGCATACTGGGAAATCACTTAGATCACACAGCTTTCAATGTAGATTAAAAAAAAAGGTTCCATGGTCTTCATTTACACAAACCTTAATACAAGGCTCATCCAGCATGGGGCTGTTATTGTGGCTCTGACTGCCACCCTGAGTTGACACATTTTTCTCTTCCCCTGAGCGCAGCACAGGACTGTGCGGCTCCACGGGGGAGGGTCGGCTCGTGGGAGGAGACGCAGGTGGGAAAGAATGAACGCTCCCACTAACAATCACTGGTTGAGACAGGCTTTCCTCCGAGGTCATCTGACGGAAGAATCGGAAGAAAAAGATAAATAGATGTATCAATGAAAACTGTGAAAATGCTTAGAATATGGACATGGTGGGTATGTGGAAATTTGGGAAATAACTTTATCCCAGCTCCTAAAAAAAAGTCTGAAGTATTTACATGAGCTGCGGATGAATTGGCACAAACACACAGAAGTTTTGGATTACTAACCTTTGGTGGGTGGGGGTTTTTCAGCTGCACATACTTCTTCAGTGCTCCACGGCAGCGCTCCACAATGTGCTCCATCTGTAGGTAGCTGGCAGCGGTCAGGTAGTTGACAATCTCCTCAGGGTTAAACTGCAGGATGCCAGTGTAACAAGACTGAAGTAGATCACACATCACTGTGGAGCTGTACAGCATCGACACCTGGGGGGAAAAGTGATATATATATTTTTTACAGCAGACAGACGCTATGACAGCGTTGACATTGTGTTTTGACCATATCTGCCTACCTGAAGCTTGGATGAAGGGTTGAGGAGAAACTGGTCCCTCAAGAAAGGCGAGCAGGCAGCAAGCACCACCTTATGACCCCTGAACGTCTGGTTGTTGCCAGTCACTATGGTGACATCACAGAATTGCTGACGGGACCTCAGTGAATTCATGTGCTTCAGGGTCGTGTCCCCGTGGCTTGGTAAGCGGAAACACAGCAACTCCATTTTGTCTGATTAGAAAAATTAAAGAAAGTATTTACAACAAATCCGGTTGTTTTTTTTAAGTCAAAAATAAAATAAAAAAACACAAAATAATAATTATAATTTATCCTTAATTGATTCCGTGAGGGGAAATTCGTTTTTACACTCTGTTTTAATGAACATGCTACACAAACATAGGCTGAAATACACAAACAGGATCCTATGGACATGCACTAATGGAGAGGTCTCAGAGTTACAAACATGGTAAGAAACACTTAAACATGGTGGTCAATGAGAGAATCAGCACCTTACTTATCTACAGTATATTAAGATAACATGTTGATAGTATGTTATCCTTTTTTACATTTGCTGCTTTTAAATCAAGACAAATAAGACATTGCAAATATAGCCAAATCTTTACTTGTTGCTACATTAAGTTCTTTAAAAAAAAGCCATAAATTGGGCTAGTGCTGCCACACATGAGCAGTTGTAGGTCATTAAATTGAGCATGGAGGACACTTTGTAATGGAGCTGTAAGACCAATTTGAGTTTAATTACAAATCTATAATTACAGTGAAGTATACTCAGGTCAATATACTTAATGGTTCAAGTCTTGTATCCCAATTTAGGATAGGATAATACTTTATTGATCCTCAGAGGGGAAATTCGGGCGTTGTAGCAGCACAGACAAGTAAGCTCAAAATACACATTAAACAGAATAGATTAGATAAGATAAAAAAAATAAAAATGGGGGTATATACAAGTACAAAATTAATGAAGTTAACTATGCATGGAATTGAGACAGTATTAGCAGAGAAAGACAAGATAAAGTGACAAGTGATGATTAAAGTGACTTGGTATGATAAATAGCAGCAAGTAATGTAAACAGCAGAGAAGAGAGGCAATGTTGTACCACAGTAATGCAGAGTGCAGTTATATAATATAATGTAGTATAATATAATATAATGAAATGTTTAGTAAATGTAAATAAATGTTTAGTAAAATAATAATAATAATATTTAGTAAAATAATGTTTATTAAATGTAAATAAATGTTTAGTAAAATAATAATAATGTTTATTAAATGTAAATAAATGTTTATTAAAATAATGTTTAGTAAAATAATAATAATAATAATGTTTAGTAAAATAATGTTTATTAAATGTAAATAAATGTTTATTAAAATAATGTTTATTAAAATAATAATAATAATGTTTATTAAATGTAAATAAATGTTTATTAAAATAGTAATAATGTTTAGTAAAATAATGTTTATTAAATGATAAAAAATGTTTAGTAAAATAATGTTCAGTAAAATAATAATAATAATAATGTTTAGTAAAATAATGTTTATTAAATGTAAATAAATGTTTATTGCCGTTATGTCAATCAACCGGCGGTTTTTACTTACAGGATGTTAGCTAAGATGTGTTAAACTTGTATTTCCTGTATTAGTCGACTGGTCTGATAATCACAAGGGGTCCAAATCGTTCATAACACCACCTTCTTTTCATACGCTAAACGTTAGCTTCGAGTTAGCTTGCTGGAATCTGCTGTGACCGTGCAGAAACAAACAAAAGGTCACAGTAATCGTTAAACTTTGCTCTTTTACTCACCTGAGCTTTTGTTGAATATGTTTCTTAAAAAAAAAGATCAACCGTTAGTTTATTTCCGCAGGACGACCGTTGACTGAGGCGACGTCAGTTAGCTGGCAGTACTTCCGCATCCCTGTTGCCATGACATTAGCTACTAACAGCTAAACCTCGGTTTACGTTTTAGTCCCTTTCTCTAGGAGGAAGTCCGTCTTGTGACACCGCATGTAAAACTTAACTGACTGTGAAACTGTTTCCGTGGAGAGCCTCTCCCCGCTGCTTGCCTGCCACACATCCGGTGGAGGAACCAGCAGCGCCGGTTGTCAAACAAATCCAGGACTGAGGGGGGGCGGGGGCGGGGCTTGTTTGATGACGCAGCACGTTGATATACGTCAGTGCGTGTCGTGAAACATGTCGGCGTCTGAGACTACGACAAAGGTAAAAAACCAAGTGCAACACAGAATTGCATTTTAATGCCGTTAATTTTTCTCCTGGACTTTTGTAAACATCGCAGCCTTCACAGCAGAATCTTGGCGACCAATCGGCAATCTGCAACCACGAATAATGTGTTTAGTTGTTTGTTAGAAGAGCTCTTTGTTGGAATCTGTGCTACACGTTTAGCCACATTAGCCTTCAGCAGTTCATTGTGAAATAACTGCACAGCTCTGAAATTTGATTATCTTTTACCATTTCCCCGCTACTTTGACTGTTTTTATCATTGTCTTCTGCCTTGCTTCCATTGCATTATGAGGTGTTTGTAAAGTACGCTTTATTTAGACTAGTTTTTAAATCAAATGTTTGGATTAACTTCACCTTTACATCATTTATTTATTATAAGGTTTTACCTGTGCAGACTTACGACTGGAGAGATTTCCCTACTCTACATTTCTTCTTTCATTTCGTGCCATTCTTTGCTCGCTTTTGTTTGTTTAAAAAAAAAAAAGCATGAATGAGTTGATTGACTGATGGCGGCACCTGACGTCACAGTAGAAACGATCAGCCATTGGTTGACGAGTTTTATTTTGGAGGAAAAGTCGGAAGTCACAGTCAGAGGGATTGACTGAGCTGGTGTTAATATTTGAACAGTTTGTAGTTATGCAAAAATAATGTGGTTTGTTTAGTGTTCACATTAAGTTGTCAGTCATTTCTGTGTTGATGTGACATTCACATTTTATTGTATGCAAACCAACAAGTTATGTGTAATCTGTGTTTGGGGAGTCATGTGTACACTGACAGCTGGCCACTTTGAAGACTCAAAAACAAGAAGGTGTTGGTTCTGAAATGTGTGTAAATGTAATTGCACATACACAATAGATAATATTTTCCTCACGGTTTTGTAAGCCAAAAACACACGAGCTGAATTCACTCTCTGCTCTCTGAAACTTGAATCACTCTCAAACCTACCCGATCACTCAGACTCTATTCCTCGAGTTAAAGTACTGCACACTGTGAATGCAACCTTCAAAACACCTCAAACAGTGGATCAAAGAAAACCAAGTCTGTGACCACCTTTAACCTTTAACCTCTATTACTGTCTTGTGTCACTTGTGCCTTTTTATTTCTAATTTGTCTTCCTCTCTTACCTGCCGAGGGACAACAGATGGAAACTAGCACTTCTGCTGTAATCTGACATTGTTACAGCTGTTCATTAATATGCACTGTCCCTAACAAATCAATAAAAAAACTGCACAGAATGAATATGCCTCGATGTCTATAATCCTAACGTTTGACTTCATTTATTTTTATTCTGACATATTATTTCCTGGTGATTTGTTTTGTTTCTGCCAGGAGCCTCCTGAAGGGAATGACTCAGAAACACCAGCAAATTCAGAAGCTGGACCAAGTCATGTGAAGGGCGGTATGTCTAAAGGCAGGAAACGATACCTGTGTTTTTAATCAGTGCATGTCAGATACACAAACATAACTCATGTGATGTATTACTTAATCAAAGCTTACACAGACCTCTAAACCTTTCCAGATAATGCAGCCATCACCACAGCTGCTGTTGCCAAACAGACGGAGCCCATGGGTGCTATGGCCTCTACGTTGCTTCCTCAGCAGCCTGGGAAGGACGCCTCAAGAGCAGGAGAGGAAGGAGACAAGATGTCACCTGCTTCCTCTCCAAAGAAACATGCTGCAGGTTAAAGCCAAATACAATATGCACTTCTCAAATGTGTTAAAGTTACAGACTTCTTTTTGAATTAAACAGTAAGACCCATTTTACATTTTTACAATAAAGACAAAAGAGAAAAACACTATAAATCAGATAAATGAATAAACTTAGATAATTTAGAAAGCTTATGCTATTAATATTTTTTAAAAGTATTATTACCATGAAACAGGGGTTTAACATCAAAGCATAGTCATGTTTGTTTTCTGCAGAGCTTCACATTGTCTTACTAAAAAAAAAAAAAAATGAAGATTTTAAATGCTTCATGAAGCGGTTGGCAGTCATCGGTTTATCCTCCTTCTTACAGGATTGGCTGCAAAGTCCTTTCCATCAGCGTCGGCTTCGTCATCGTCTTCCTCCTCTCCGTCCACCTCTTCAGCGCTTTCCCCCGGCCGAGCAAAGATGAGTGTTTCCGGACCTGGCAGCAGTAAATCCATCCCAGGCCCCGCTCTTTCCTCTTCCTCCTCCTCCTCTGCCACAGCTTCCTCCTCTCCCTCTGTGTCCCCCGGCCCACCCAAGATCCACCGGGCCCGCAAGACCATGAACAGGCCTCCACTAGGCCAGGTGAGCATCAGTCCCCCTGTAGCAAACTTCATTTTCTTTTTTAGTAAAAATCAAATGTGTTTCTCTGAATCAGCAACTTTTTTTTTTTTTTTTAAACAGATGAACAACTTTGAGTTGCCTGTTGCACCCTCGGGACCCTCCGTCTCCCTTTCCTCTGACTCTGAAACAGGTTAGTCACTTTAGAATATTGTTGTACTAAATGTTTGTCTGAAATAATCAATTTAACATCAGTGGAAAGAAGCTGGAGCGACCTGATTTATGACACGTGCATGTGTGTTTCCATTAGCTGCAAAAAGGAGAAAAACGGATCCTTTATCCGACATCACTCATGAGACGTCTGAAAACATCCCAGACAACGCTCAAACTGTGGTAAGAGTTTTTGTTTCCAGCACGATGGTTCATTCATCAGAATTTAAACCTTCAATATGATACCACACACACTGTTGATACCTGTTTTTATACCACAGAGACACAAATAGAAGTCCTGGCCAGTGGGCACCAAATATAGATTATTTTCTTTTTTTAAATCCCAAAAAATTGCAGGTAAACTCCTGCACAATTACATCGACAGTGTTTATTTGTGGAAATTCCCCTCAGCTTGGTCACAGCAGCTTTCTGTTCAGATTATAACCGAAGATCTTGTGATTTTTTTCCTGTCCTGTACTTTTCGTTTCTATCGATGATTAAAATAATGGCTTAAAAACATCAGGAATGACATGTTTAGTTTGTACTCGCTCTGATAAGGGTTCAGTGGTTCATTTGTATCTCTTCTCTTTGTCTGTTCTTTCTTTTTTATTAACAGGAAGAAACATTTGTCCATAAAAAGCCTTCGACCAAATCTGCAGCTGAGAAGAGCGACATCGATGTCGGATCAAAGTCAGAGGAGGAAGAGAAAATTCAGACTCCAAACCCATCGAAGCGAGCGTCAGGAAAGGTGTCGGAGGTAAATGAATGTAAAAAAACACCCATATGATTGAGTTTGATGTTACAGCATGTTTATGGTCGTTATCTTCTGTTGTTGAACTTTTCTTCTTTTTGTTTGTTTTGTAGTTTGATGACGGAGAGAAAGAAGGAAATAAAGAGATCGAGGACTCTGTGAACACATCGGATCATGTGAGTGAAACCATCACCTTCATGTCGAGTCATCTTATACCTCACCTGATAAAGCTTCACACAGTCGATGACACTCCACACAAATATTTATCTGCTTGGATGTAACAAAAACATATTCTTCCTGTATCACTCAGCGCTTACTTTAAAAAGATGAATGATTCTCTCCCTCCAAATAGACAACTCCAATTCTTCTTCTGCCTGATCGGGAAGAACTTTCATTATTCTATTGTTCCTATTTAAAAAAATAAATAAAATATGCCATTGCTCATTTCAAGAGTTGAAAAGTGAAATCACAACAGTTCTGTCTGACATGCTGAGGCAGCATTTGAAAGTTGCCCTGTGGGGTTTTTTTTGTGAACAAAGTTATGTTTACATTCAGAAAAAGGAGTTATTTATTCTTTAGAAAAACATTTGCTAAGCTCATTTTTTCCTACTTAAGATAAGCATAAAAACACTGGAATGGTGAGTGTGCAAGTTCATAATAGAGAAAATAACAGAATAATGCATCCAGGCCGTAACCTGTAACAAGTAAAAATGTAAATTACTGGAATATCATCAAAAAAAAACCATCCAGAGTGTTTCCCTTTCTTTTGCTACATTAACAGAGAATTTGTCCCTCGCAGAGCTCAGAGTCTGAGACGCACAAAGCTGATCTGAGTCGAAACGAGAGCGAGGAGTCTTCACAAGAAAAAGAGAAAAACACGGCTGATGTGGCCGAGCCGGTCGCAGGTGAGTGAGTTAATCTGTATCCAAACCCATGACCGTCTGCCATTAAGATTCCTGACATTGAATCATGTTAGATTTTCAAAACAAGAGTCTCTTTTAATGTCAAAGTGAAAGAAACGTAATCTGTATTCAAATGAAAAAGCCTTTTGATTAAATCATCTCTGGTGCAGCTGGTGGCCGTCACATAACAAGATTAATATAATTAATGAATCACTTTTCTTAGTCATGTAGTGATTAACAATTAATATTAATATCAGCTGTGTGGAATCAAGGTGTGACACATGACTTCACCTTGAAGCCTCCACGTCCGGTGTGCCGATTTCATGGAGAGAAAAAAAAGGACATGATGAAGAGAAAACTCTCAGACAAAACTCAGAACACGGTTATTGACAGGTACCAATCAGGGCGAGGTTATAAGAGAATCTCCAGGGTGGTTAGTATCTCTCGGAGCAGGGTTAGGGTGATCATCCAAAAATGGAAACATCAAGGGAGCTCTGTTAAATCTTCAGAAAACAGGGCAGGCATGCAAAAGAGAGGGTTTTAAAGGAGACCCCCGTGAGGTTTGTATGAACTGTGCAGGAGCTGCAGAAAGGTGTTCACTCAGTCTGTGCATGAGCTGACACACCTGGAAGAGGGGCGTGTTGTTGTGTTCAGACGGGAGCTGAAGAGAGAGTTTCTAAGATTACAGATACTGACTCAGAGGAGAAAGAATGGGTTTCTATTTTTTTGTGGTACATTTTTGTTTTTGTTTATCTGCAAAAACATTTTGCTTCAGTGTTGTAATTTTCTTTTTAATGTATTGTTTGTCAGTGATTTATAAGTCAGGGTGATGTGAAGCTGCGCCTGCCTCAGGGCATCAAAAAATGACTCTTGGGTGCATTTGCAGAGGAGGAAAATGTAAAATGGTAGAGTAGAGGAGATACCAGCTCAGCACAACAAAAGATAAATGCAAACATGTTTGTATGATTTTGTTAGAATAGAAATCTACATGAAAGTTAAAAAAAAATATTAAAGGCACACAAGGATTGTACCTCAAACAAACAGCGTTCTATTCTAGCAGTAGTTCATCTCTCTGTAGTGTGACTCATGACGAGTGTCGTCGTTTGTCATTTCAGCTGAAAGGTCGTCTGATTACACCGAGGTTCCCCTGGGTGCTCTGGACATCGCTGCAGCCGACAGTCTGACACTTTCTCCTCACCACGGTGAGTTTAGAAGCGACGCACGTATCGTATGTCGATATGTTAAAAAATCAGAACCTTTTTTCCCCTCGATAACGATAGCTGAATTAAACATTGAAACTTTATCTGTAAAAAATCTAATTTGAGCTTCTCTGATGTTTTTCTGTTGTCATATGAAAAGCAGAGATGATGGATTATTTTTGGGTTTATGGATGAATCTTTTCCTAGTAGAGGAAACAGATTCAGATTCTTGATTGTCCCAAAAGGGGAAATTTGCGTTGCAGCAGGAGCACACAGAAGACAAGAAACACAAGGACAACATCGCTATTGTAAAAGAGAATCTTATTGGAAGTCATTCTAAAACAAACCTGGGTACATGTGATCTGGTATTCACAGGGAAGATGAACCTTTTTGAGCGCTAACGTTTCACTTCAAACTAAAATGTCTAACAGGATATGAATTTAATATTTAAGTAAAAACATTTTCCATCAGGACTAACATCATGAACATTCAAGTCTTTCTCTCTCTCCTCAGTTGCCAGATAGTCTAGCACAGTGGTTCTCAAACTATGGTACGTGGGCTCCCTGTGGTGGTACGCAAAGAAATCTCCACAATATAAAAAAAAAAAACAGTTCAGCATAAAACTACAATTTTTTGTTGTTGTCATACTCCTATCTTATCTGTCTTGTATCTATTGGGTTGTATTTATATCAAATGTGTTTTCCCCTCTAAATTAATCTAGTTTTTGCAACAAACAACTTTAATCTGCTCACACATAAACAACAACAGGAGTACGCCTCCCGTTTTGAAAAGTTCCACTCGATATTCCACAAGCAGCTGTAGGCCTACATTAACAGAATATAATATATCTGTTAATGTAGGCCTACATTAACAGATATTCTGTTGTTTATTGGAGTTCAGCACACAATCGGCAGCTGTACATTTACATTTTTAAAACGGAGCCAGGAGAAGCTTCAGTTTTGATGCATGTACGGACAGCTGAACTTATCGCTCCCCCTCCCTCTCGGAAATATACTTGGGCCCAGGTATCGTGTTTGTGTGGGAAACACTGGAGACTAAATACTCTCAAACAGGTTGTTGGTATAAAGTTGTCATTTTTATTGTTCTACACTTTTTTTGATTTGGGTAAATGTCAGTGTTGTGTGGCGTTTAAGTGCCAGTTCTAGCGCTAGACCTTAGTAGTCCTATAGTGTGGCTGCCAGACTCTCTCATCCACCCTCTCATCCCTCTGTGCTACTCTACATTTAAGTCATAAAAGCCCCAAAACAGAATCTTGAAGTGAATACAGAAACCTGCCTCCTCTGTACAGAAGGGAGCGATGCAGGAGACACGGAGCGTCTGGAGGAGCTCCCCCTCTGCAGCTGCAGGATGGAGGCTCCTCGCGTGGAGTGCAGCAGCCAGCGCGTCAGCAGACAGTGCATGGCCACCGAGAGCGTCAACGGCGAGCTGAGGGCGTGCATCAGCCGGACCATCAAAGGGGAGACGATGCGTCCGTCCAGCCGGGTTCCCCTCATGGTGCTCTGTGAAGTCCATCGCTCGCACATGGTCAAACACCACTGCTGTCCCGGCTGCGGGTACTTCTGCATCGCGGTGAGAAGCTGCTGTCAACATCTAAATAAACTCTTTGATCTCCTTCCTTCCTCTCCTCCTTCACAGACTACAAATCCTACCTCCTCTTTCTCCTTTGATATTCTACCCTCTGAACTTTTTACTTTCCTCATCTTTTTCCTTCTTGGTGTCCTTCTCTCCTTCTCTTCATTATTCTCTCCTTTTTATATCCTCTCCTCCTCAAAATCCCACTTTCTCCTCCTTTCTCCCTCTTGATCTTGTGTTCTATAACTTTTTTTCTCTCCCTCAGTTTACTTTTTCCTCCTTCACAAAATCCTACTTTCTTCTCCTCTATCTTTCTGATTTTTCCACTTTTTACTCAGTATCTTTCTTCTTTACTTTCTCCTCAATTATATCCTGTTTTCTTTTCCCACTTCTCCACCATTTAATCCGACTTCCTCATGCTGTCTCTCGTCTGAATCTCTTTCTGCTCAACTTGACATTTCAGCTTTTACTTTTTGTCTCCTTGTTTCCTCTGATCTCTCCTTCTCTCTAACCTCCATTCTCTTTCTTCTTTCATTCTCAGGGCACTTTTCTTGAGTGCTGCCCGGACCAGCGCATCGCTCACCGTTTCCACCGCGGCTGTGTGACGGTGCTGAGCGGCGGGCGCAGCAGAGGAAACGGAGGCGGCGGTATGATCTTCTGTCCTCACTGTGGCGAGGATGCTTCAGAGGCCCAGGAGGTCACCATCCCCTCGTTCAGCTCGGCCACGGCCTCCGCCACCACCGTCGTTACCATGTCCGCCTCCTCCACCACGACCCCGTCCCTGCCCCCGTCTGTCCCCACGGCGCCCTCACTCACGGCGTCGACGGGAGGGATGAAGGACGGGAAGATGCCTGAGAGACCGGTCAGGTAAGACCGAACGATGTGAGTGAAGTTCAGCGTCCTTTTTAAATCCTAAAATATCTTTTTAAATTGAATTCCTCTCTTCTCCTCCAGCGCTCGTATGCGTAGCCACGGGTTGGTCAAGCCGGCGGTGGAGCAGCAGCCCCCGCAGCCGGTCGCCTCTGCAACACCTGCGACCGCCGTCCCCCCAGTGGAGGAGGGCGTGGACAGCGTGGGTCCCTCTCTCTGTATGCCTAACGGGAAACCCATCAGTCCAAGTGCACTACCGCCCGGGCCCAGCAGGGCGTCGCTGCAGAAAGCTATCCTCACTCAGGACACAGAGAGGTCAGAAGTACTTTGATTTTTTTATCCATGCTTTTGAACGGTTTAGTAACTATCCTTACAATTAGTGTGAGTCGTGTCTGCTATTTATTTTCTACTTGTTTTGAAGAAAGCTTTAAGCTAACAGTTCAGAAATGAGCAAAACTGGAATATGATTTATCTGCAGCAGCCAAAGTTATTTCAACATAAGTTAATTTCTCTTCATAAAAGTTTATTTTTTATTTTTTTTATGACCAACATTGTTATTGTTTTCAAATGTTTTACAACAGTCCAATACCAGACAATAAATGATATAGAACAATACCCAACAAGGGAAACACTATCAATGCAAGACAAAAAAAATAAAGACCTGACAAACAAAAATTATAATTCAGTTAAATTAAAATATATGTAAATAAATAAAAACATAAAAAATAAAAATAACAAAATTCCACAACCACAACATGATTATTTCAGATTAGGCTGCATGGAAGTGTTAAATTGTGTTTCCATAAGATTTACAGGGGGCCATAAAATAAGTTTTAAATGCTTTAAGAACAGTTTGTTTCAAATCTGCAGCCTCGGCAGAAAAAAAAAATACAGACTTGTTTTTTGAGGGAGGATTAGAGCAAAAGAGAAAATATTTCTTTTTGTGTGTGTGTGTTGTTTTGTTTTTCAGTGAAGTTAGCTGATGTTCAGTAGAAACATTTAGACCAATTTTGTGATTAAATTTTTTTCCATTTTCTAGGAAAAAGAAACTGAGGTTCCATCCTCGCCAGCTTTACCCCGCTGCCAAACAAGGAGAGGTTCAGAGGGTTCTGCTCATGCTGAGTGAGTGGGAGAAAGACAAGAACAAGTGTTCTCCATGTAGATATAAGATCTTTTGTAGATTTTATTTTTTAGAAGCTCTCTCTCTGGATTTGATCACAGAAGTTTCAGTGTTTATGTTTTTATGATGAATGATTGTTTATTTACTCCCTCCTTCCTGCTCAAACAGAAAGAGTCATTGTCGTTTTTTATAGATTTGTTTATTTGAGGCGGCAGCAGCTCAGTCTGTAATGACTTCAAGTCCTAGTAAGGACCAAAATATGGAACTGGTTACTGGTGTCCCTGAGATCCTGTGTGTGTGTTTGTGTTGTCCAATAGCAGAGAGAGAAAACAGATTTATTTATTATTTTTTTTCCCCCTCGGGCATTAATAAAGTATGTCCTCTTCTTCTTCTTAAACTGTTTGTGTCTGCACCAGTGGAGGGAATAGATCCAACGTACCAGCCTGACTCACAGAACCGGCGCTCTGCTCTCCATGCGGCAGCTCAAAGAGGTCTGCTGGAGGTCTGCTACATCCTCATACAGGTGACGTTTTCCATCTGTTATCAGTCTCGTCGAGTCCTTCCTTTGATCAGAACACGTTCTCTATTTAATCATTTTATATTAAAAATACATTAAAAAATAATCAGTGATGTCAGAAGAAGTATCCTAAAAGCTTTACGAGCACATTTCAGTTTCTGGTTTAAATCTCCATATCCACAACTTTACTATTTTGGTTCACTTTGATTGTTGTCATAGCAACGCTTTTAGAAGGAAGGCAGCTCTTGTCATCTACTTTAATGAATGCAGGAACAGTTTGTGACTAGAAAAATGAGCTTCAGAGATAAAATGAATTGTCAGCAGAATTCTTCAGTGTGTGTATATTTAATTTAAAACATTTCCTCGTTGTGCTTCAGTTTGAGGATAATGTTTTGTTTGTTGACGACAGGCTGGTGCTCAGGTGGACGCCCAGGACAAGGACCTGAAGACTCCTCTGTTGGAAGCGATCATCAACAATCACATCGAGGTGGCTCACTACCTGGTCCAGAACGGCGCCTGTGTCTATCATGTTGTGAGTAAATAAATAAACTAAATTAAGAGTCTTCCCTGAGGTTGTTTGATCCAGATTTTTAGCCTCGGTGTTCTTGTTGTTCAGGAGGAAGATGGATATACCGGCCTCCACCACGCGGCCAAGCTGGGGAACAAGGAGATCGTCAACATGCTGCTGGAAACGGGGCAGGTCGATGTGAACGCACAGGTAAAGAAAATGTCTTTATTAGTGTTTTACGGCCATCAAACAAACTTTCTGATGGAAAGAGTTTAACAAAGTGTTTGGTTTTAAATGTCAAAATAGATTTATTGAAAAGTCTGACAATCTATCGTATACATTAGATAAGAAATCATTTTAACAAACGCATCAGAAACTGATCCTTCCTGTCGGGTTTGTTCCAGGACAGCGGCGGCTGGACGCCGATCATTTGGGCTGCAGAGCACAAACATGTCGACGTGATCAGATCCCTGCTGAACAGAGGAGCTGATGTCACCATTAATGATAAAGTAAGTTTTCCGCTTGCTAATTCTGAGGTTTGTAACGTTCAATTTTCCTTTTGGGAAATTTAGGTTTGTTTTAATTGTGGCGCCCCCCTGTGGACAAAGCGATACCGCTTACCTGTTTTTGTTGATTCTGCCCTGTACATGTTGAGTACACAAATAAAACATACAACTTCAGGCGATGCTTTTCACTTACTCTTATCCATTTTCTCATGAAATCCTAACATGCCATTTTACCAAAACAACTACACATCCATATCCATACATGTATACACACACACGCTTTCCTTCATACCTACATCAGATAAACATAAACTTACATGCATACATAGAACCACACACATGGCAGCCTTCACATCTTTTTTGATGTAGCGTTTTTTGACAACAACAAAAACTAATTCTGCAAGTCAAACATCACTTACCTGGAATTTTTGCTCAGAAAATGTTATTTTTTGAAGCGGTGTTGGCAGGATGCTGTGAATCGCTTCGTCTGATTTCTATCATTCTTCTCACTTATGATCTCTTGATGCTCATTTAATTGGTGATCTAGAAAAACTAAATAAATAATTAAACACTTTTTTTTTTCCTCAAGTAGGAAGTGCATTCTTAAAAAACACAGAGAAGCATCTGGATTATTTTCATTATCTGTTCCTGTCCAGTTATGTCACAGTCTGGGTCTACATGGATGTACTTGCATGAGAATATTTCAGGTTATTACTTTAAACAGTCCAGTCTCTCCCCTCAGGAGCAGAACGTGTGTCTCCACTGGGCGGCGTACGCAGGGAACGTGGACATAGCGGAGCTGGTGTTGAACGCCGGCTGCTCCCTGACGTCGGTCAACGTGCACGGAGACACGCCGCTCCACATCGCCGCCAGAGAGGGCTACCTGGAATGTGTTACGTGAGTCAAATCGATCGCTTGAGACCTCAAGTTTTCATATACTAGTCACATGTGTCACTTTAACCTGAAGCCATCCGTCCCTCTGAACTAACCAGATCGTTATTTTCTAATTTTTACTAGTTTGATGTTTTTTACTTTGAATGTAAGCTACACAGCGGGCTGCAGGACAGTGGAATGACAGATACATATTGATGTTCTTAAAGGCTTTTTATGTGATTTTTCACACTTAAATGTAGAAATCAAGTCTATCCTCTGAAAATAACTCTGTGAGTCATGACTGTCTACAATGGGTGTAACACCCGAGTCCCACTGTCTGTGATGTTTTCAGAGTTTTCAGAGTCCTATCTTCACTTTGTTTACATCGCCGGGACGGCCGGCTGACTCCTCCCCTCGTGTATAAAAGTTGTTTAATTGAGGGACTAGAGAAAAGAAGAATAACATACTGTACTCACTGCTTAACTGTGTTTCTAGATCACGCTCATTTCAGGTAAATTTACATGCAGTGTGAAGATACCAGCATAATAAAGATCGCTAGCATTAGCATGCTAACACAACAATGCAGCGCGAGTTGTTTTGGTTTCATGCTGGAGCTCAAGGGGCGACATCTGCTGGATCAAAAAAATCACATATAAAGCCTTTAAAGTAGCCATCATTTGTTGCTTTGGTTTGGAGATGTGCTTGTTTTCTTTCTTTTTTTTTTAAGTGACCCTCGTCTGGACGTTGATAGGTACGACGCTAACAAAATCTTTTGTTTGTGTGATTCTGGCGCCCCCTGTGGTACCTCTAGTGTCTTAGCTCAGTGGTCACCAAACCTTTTTTTTTGCCTGGTCCCCGTTTGGCGGATGAGATTATTTTTTAAGACCCCCCACCTCCACCTGTCACCATACACATCAACAAATATCAACTTAACACACTGTCAATAAAGAAATAAAGCCAACAAATTCCAGAATTTTTAGAATTGATCTCAAACATTTTCCTGTCCGGTGTGTGGCAACAAACTGAAAAATCAAACAAGCCACTTTTAAAGAGGAAACAGTTAGAAATGATACTGGAACATGCAACAGGTAGGACATGGTTGTGATATCGTTGTCTGTCTCTGCTGCAGGTTGTTTCTCTCCAGAGGCGCAGACATTGACATCATTAACCGGGAAGGAGACACGCCGCTCACACTGGCGCGGGCGGACACTCCTGTCTGGGTCGCCCTCCAGATCAACAGGAAGCTGAGGCGAGGAATAACCAATCGCATGCTTCGGACTGAAAGAATCATCTGCAGGTAGGTCTGAAAAAAGAGCATCGTTTTCTTTTCTTTTTTAATTGTATTTATTTATTTAGAATCAAACATTCACAGACATTTGTACATATTGTTCATTTGTGGTTAGACATTAGAGTGATTCCTGTTTTCACATTTTTGTAAATTTATACAGAACAAAATAAATGAAATAGAAAAATAATAAAAATAGAACCGAACAAATCAAATAAAAAGACAAATTGTAAGACATGGGGTGATTTTCCCAAACAAATACAAAAACTAAGCATACAGGGTTTCATAACTAAAATAAAACCAGATGAAACAAAAGAAGGGAGTTTAGGGGAGATATAGGAGACACATTTAATCCAGAGGTCCTGAAATTTATGTTTAGAGCCTCGTTTTCAAATAATCAAGTTTGAGGGAAAGATAGTTTCTATAATTTATTTAGCAAAGTGATGAACATCAGAGAGTAAGAACAACACAAGCAAGGGTGTAGAGAGGAGGAAACAACGTCAGGAAGTGCAAAGGATCAGTTTTAAGTCTGATGGGACACACAGGTGCTGACAGGAAGTGACCAGAGGCAGAGCACCTTTTTAATATAATTACACTGACAGCTGTTCTCGAGAGTTCTTATCAGCATCCTAAATATCCTCAAAGTCATGAATTGTGTTGGTGTTCATGAAAGAGATGGGTCTTTAGCTTTTTCTGAAAGGTGCAGAGGGACTCTGCAGGTTTGATCCACCACCGGGGGGCGACAGAGGAGAGTGTAGCAAGAGACTTAGTGTTTCTTTTGTTTATTTGTTTCTTTGCTTTCTGTTCCAGCGACATCGCTCAGGGCTACGAGAACGTACCCATCCCCTCTGTGAACGCGGTGGACGACGAAGGTTGTCCGTCAGACTACAAATATGTGTCAGAAAACTGTGAAACTTCAGCAATGAACATAGACCGCAACATCACACATTTACAGGTAAAACATCATCAGCTTCTTAAAACTCACTTTTATAGACTTGCTTTTATGTGATTTCTCCTTTAAAGATCTATCCCTTCCTTTTATTCCTTTTATTGATTTTAACCTTTTTATCTTTCTCTTCTTTAAATGTTTTAGCCTTTAACTGTATCCCTTCCTGTATTCATTTTACTGCTCTTAGTCTTTTTAAATTCCTATTCCTTTTATGGTTTAACTCTTCAGCTCTCTGTTGCTTTATTCATTTAATCTCCAGTTTATTCCTTCTTTTTTATCTTCATTCTGTGTTTACAGCCTGTGATGTGATGTCGTCACACTCTCCCTCCATTTTCATTTTGTTCTCTCCTGGTTGATTTTAAACATATTTTCCTTCATTGTGTTGATTTGTTTGGCCCCTCTGTTGATCTCTGTTCTGTTGTCGTGTTGCTGTATTTTCTTTGTGTGTCACAGCACTTTGTAAACATTTGTTTTTAAAGGTGCTGTTATTATTATTATTATTATTAGTATTCGTTCTGTTAAACCCATAGTTTATAAAGTCTCATAAAGAAATGACATCATTGCCTTTCTTTGTTTTTTGACTTCAGCACTGCAGCTGCACTGATGACTGCTCGTCCAGTAACTGTCTCTGTGGACAGCTCAGTATCCGCTGCTGGTACGACAAGGTAGATACAAATGTTTTACAGTCGCATCATAACAGAAAACAGAACTTTAATGGACGTTATTTCAATCCTAGTTTGGATATTGTGCAATAAATAAATAAAGGATTATCTTATCTTATCTTATCTTAAGATAAAATGCTTGAGTTCTTAATATTCTACAACTTTTTTTTTAAGGTTTGGTTTGAATGCCTGAATTGAAGTCTATAACCAGGGTTTATTATTTAAAGGAGAAACTAACAGAGGAACCAAATCTCAAGTTGTGTTTTTAATATTTCAGGACCAGCGGCTGCTCCAGGAGTTCAACAAAATTGAGCCTCCACTTATATTCGAGTGCAACATGGCGTGCTCCTGTTACCGGACGTGCAAGAACAGGGTGGTGCAAGCAGGCATCAAGTAAGGACTTTAACTACACTCTGAAATTCTGTTGCTGTGATGATTCATAAAATAAAACGATGGGGGGAAACATGAAGCTTTGTTTCCACACCCAGGGTTCGTCTTCAGCACTACAGGACGAGAAGATGGGCTGGGGAGTTCGAGCTCTGCAGGATATTCCCCAGGGAAGCTTCATCTGCGAGTAAGAGAGAACAGAGAGAACCCCTACAACAGGTCGCTCTCGTACAGAGAAAGTCAGGTTCCTAAATTATGCTGTTTTTCTCCTGTCCATGCAGATATGTCGGGGAGCTGATCTCTGACGCAGAGGCCGATGTCAGAGAAGACGACTCCTACCTGTTCGACCTGGACAACAAGGTGTGAACTTTATTTTTTTTTTTAAACATGTTTTTAATCTTAAATTTCTGACACACAGAACAACTGAGGAGCGAGTCAACACCAATTTGTGTTTTCTTTAAAGGATGGGGAGGTGTACTGTATTGATGCCCGCTACTATGGCAACATCAGCCGCTTCATCAACCACCTGTGTGACCCAAACCTCATCCTGTGCGTGTGTTCATGCTGCACCAGGACCTGAGATTCCCCCGCATAGCCTTCTTCAGCTCCAGGGACATCCACAGCGGACAAGAGCTCGGGTGAGAGACAAACATTTTCATCTTATTCTCTTTTTTTAGTCACCAGTATTTCCATTTTAACTTCTTGATCCTATCATTTTAATTTATAGCTTGTTTTTAAGATATTTTCTTAGTTGTATCATGATATTTAAAGTTTTTATTTGTCAAAACATACAGTATTATTTATTTTTTTCATTTAATCCTTTTCTACTTCTTTTTTTATTTCTTTAACAGTATGCTTAACCTGACTATCTATATGCCTTTTAGAAAGGAGGCACAAACCTCGCTCTGGATGCTGCCTCTGTTATATGTATTTTGAATTTGCATACTGTGTATATATATTTCTATGTATTGTTTCCTTCTCACCACTGGGTGTTAAAAATATGAAAAAAATGTTGCAAATATGTGTAATGATCGAAAACGTTAATGTATTGCAATAAAAGTATTTTAAAAAAAACCATATGTGCTTGAAGCCCTATCCAACCATAAGTGTTTAAACCTGACTGGCCTTGTCTTGTGTCATTAGGTTTGATTACGGAGACCGTTTCTGGGACATTAAGAGCAAGTACTTCACCTGTCAGTGTGGATCAGAGAAATGTAAACACTCGGCAGAGGCCATCGCCTTGGAGCAGAACAGGCTGGCTCGTATGGAGGCTTGCCCAGAATCGGGGGCTGACTGTGGGATGAGCATGATGGGAAACTCCTAAGAAGAAAAAAAAACTCACACATGAGGCCTTTGGATTATCTGTTATACATGTGCACATACTCCATGTGTGTTTTATCACTTGTACATTTCTGTATGATGCATGTTGCTGCCTTTTTTTACTTAAAGTATCTTTTTGTTTCCATCCTGAAGGTAAGCTCTTCCCTTTATGGTCGAAGACATGGACCTAAACATATTCTTACACCTCTCTTTACATACAGTATGTTTACTGTCTGTTTAGTAGGAAGAACTACCACATGCCATTTACTCTGTCATGCCAACAAACAGGAAGTATTTTTACACAGTACAATAATGGGTCAACCGTCAGTCCCTAATTACCGTAATTCAATTATGATGAAAGAGATTTTGTTGTCTTTTGGATGCTTGTTTTAGCTTTGTTGTTTTTATTTTTGTACGTATAGTTTTCTTTATGACATTTAGTGTAATAAATAAGCTCATGAGTTGATCTTTGAGCTCTTGAATTAAGTGTGACAATCTTCTCTGTTAAGGTTAGAGTTACACTTTTTTCTGTGTGTATGTTTGTATTAAAGCTTTGGGTTTTTTTAGTAACCAGGCAGATCACATGAAGAGTGTTGCCTGTTGGTATTATTGTAATTGACAGCAGGGGGCGTTTGCCACCACTCAAAGCAAGAGAGATGCACAGTCAGAGAGTCAAAGAAAAACAAGAGGTCCCACTCTGCCACTGATTCCCTCTACATCTGATTTGAACAAAAGCAGTTACAGAAAGATGTACATTTTCCTTGAGATTTTGGGAAGAAAATTAACATAAAAACTACATAATGAATAAAGAATAAAACTAGAAGCATTTGTACATGAGCAAATTACATTAATGAGTTTTTAATCAGGATGTTGTTGCTAAATATAAGTTTGGACATCCTCCACCCTGAACTGATGTAATATTATTTTTTGGGATTCAAATATCAGAAAACACAACTACTTCTAATATTTTTCATTCAAAATAAACACAAAATGTATAAAAAATTAAGAAGAAAAAGTACTAAATCATTTTATTTGATCATCCTAATCTGAAGGAACAGATTATTAAAGTATTTACACATGACTGTATTTAAGTAATGTTGTACCTTAAGCTGTCATGTAATACAACAAAAGGATATAGGTGCAAAAACCTCAACTAAAGTTTGCACTACATTTGGCATCACCGCCGGGAGATTAGAAAAGGAGTGATGCCTCCTGTCTATGAAAACATCTTTGGTAGAAGTGCAGGTACGCATCTTCAGCAGGTGCTCGATACCCAGCAGGAAGAAAAGAAAGATTTTTCCAACTCGCTCGGACACGACGAGCTCATTTTAACAGAGTTTTAACCGGTTTTCTGTTTTGTTTTAAGAATACTTTTTAGCAAAAGAAGTTAAGTTAAGAAAAGTGAAAGAGGGGAAGTTGGCGGCTCAGGTGGGAAATGGGTAAAAAACAGGAGACAGATCAGGAGAAACCGGAGTATGGTGAGTTAACATCGTCCGTTACCTCAGAGGGTTCACCTGTTCACCTGAGTATCTCTCAAAGCTCAAGATAACCAACATCAACTAACTAGAAATACTTTAACTGTGTCTTATTCTTTCTTCCTTAAATATGTTCCTGTAACATTTGTTGAATAAAATTAACAGAGTCAGAGATTCTAATTAACCTACGCAATCTTCTGTACGGAAGAGGAATAGGGCCAGAAATAAGAAATTATGAATAATAGGAGGAGGATTTTTTTAAATGTATTATGCACTTGAGCAAAGGAAGAAATGTGTGAATAAATAAGAAATTCAGTATCGAGAATTAAGTCAAAAAAATTAATGAAATCTTATTTGAACTTTATTCTCCACATTTTCACTTTTTTTTCTCAAAATTTAGACTTTATTCTCAAAATTGTATTTAAACTATTTTCGCGACATTTCACTCGAAGTGCATGAATGAAAAAAATCTACCTCCTATCATTATTTATGTCAGGTCTAATGACCCTAATCCTCTTCCGTACTTTTGACTTTTGATGTCATTTAAAGCTTAGACCTAAAGTGAAGTTGGCTAAATAAGAAATAGGCTAGATAAAAGATGAATGTCTGCCTCTTTAACATTTGATAAATAACTTTTCTCTTCTTAAATCTTCACCAAAGGAATACCAGGACAGCTGTGTGAGCTTCTTAGCACCAATAACTTTGTTTAATAAGTTACTGTGAACTTATCAATTTATGTCATCATCTTTTATAGGTCAGACACATTACCTGATCAAAGGTAATGCTTTCAATAAAATAGATTTATAGTTGGCCACAAATGAATCTCAGAAAATGTATATAAATCAATTATTTGAAAAAAAGTGTTTTTTCTATTATTTCTTTTCTTACATGTCTTTATAATTAATCTCTTCCAGTCTCTAAAAGTCCTTAAAATGAGACAAATGTTAGGATGAAAAAAAGCCGTATTTTGGTTAAAAAGCAAAGTCAAGTGTAACGCTGCTTGTGCTTTGTTGTGGTAAAAACACCTATAGCGACTTGTGGGTGAGAGTCTGTGAAACTTGTGCTACCTGTTTATATCACCCTCCAGGTTTCTTGTTAACGTGTTTGAAGCTATTTGGAAGCTATACCTGCAAACATCTGTGTTATAAGCTGCCTTTAAGGTGTGAAATCTCACGTCATTATCAGTTTGATTCATTCATCCCGGCTAAAGAAAGAACATGGTTCATGTAAAGTTGATGCTAAAAGCAGTGACCATTTCTCTAGATTAGACCTGTAAAGCGGGTATTTTGATTAACACATTTTATTCTTTATTCTGTGTATAGTTGACTCCTTATAACTTTAAATGTCTTTCAGTCCAGAAACCCCTAATAATATTATTATTACTATTTTTACAAAAGCCACAGAAAAAAAGAACAATCTGTTTAAGTCATCGATGATACAGGAAGTTGTTGTTGAATTAGGTCACTCTAAAAGCTTCCTCTTCTGAATGTATAGTTTCTTTTATGCTCTGTCATTTCATTTCAGTTACAGCTCTTGTTTGTTGTTGTTTATGTATTAGGATTATAGATTTGCATCCTCTCTGAATTTGAAGTAAGTTTTCCCTCATGACGATCTTTTGTTTGGCAACCTGAAGCCTTTTTCACACATGCACTCTGGATAATATCTAGATATATATCTAGGGATTTCCTGAGGTAAGACGTGACGTAAATAAACAACGCGGAAGTAGCGGCCAAAGCAAAGCAGAGTCCGCTACACAACGTTATAATGAGAATATTTGCCTTTATATCAATGCTATGTGTAATCCAATGGAATGACAACATCCAGAAAAGAGAGGAGAACAACATACTGATGAACAGAAAACAGAATGCAGACGTTTAATTAGAGCACGGAGATCGTAGAGGTCGTGTGCAGACACTTTAAACAGTCACTGTATATAAACGTCATTCTCTTTTCATTGGCTCCAGTTGAAATCTCCGGAGTATATGCGGCCGTGTTCAGACATCAGCTCACTCGGACTTTCTGCAGATTAAAACACGAGGGGTCTGGAGGAGAAACTCCGGGTAAAGTCCCCGTGAATGTTTGCATTCACACATGGCCTAAAGACCCTCCGGGTAGACAAATCTCCGGAGTTTTTCAGGAGATTTCCGTATGTGTGAAAAAGGGTTTTAGTCTCTGAGCACTCTGGTCTCAGATCTGTCTTGATCCCGGTTAGTGTGGCCTTGACTACAACACTATAATGAGGGTTAATTGGCCAAAGAAGAGGTTGAAGTGGTAATACAGCGATAAGATATTTGGATGCTGGAGAGTGGTGAAAAGAAGTAGAGAGATCCTGCACTTTACCTTTTTAGAGGTGTTTTGTATTCTTCAGCTATAATCAGATATCTGGATGTTTATAATTGTCCTGCATTAAATCCATTATTGCAGAGTCACTGAACTGTGATATTATCTTTATTGTGGGCCATAACTTGCATATGAATTGGTATTGAATAACCTGTGATCCCCCCCCCCCCCCCCATCTGTCAGTCAAGCGGCTGGTGTTTGGTCGTGTATTTCCCGCCCTCGCCGAGCTTTACATCATGACGGAGATCTTCAGTTTCATGTTAAACTAAATGCTGGCCTTATTTAAGATCAGCCTGTGTGTTTGATTTTCAGTCCTGTGTGTCATGTGTTCAGCAGAGCTCTGTCTCCTGTTTGCTTTCTGTGGTATCTGATGTATTCATAGAGTCTCCCATCTGTTGACAGTCCGGGAGGTTTTTGTAAAGTGATGGTAAACAACCCCTCCCTGGTGGTAAATAACCATAACTCCTCAAATAACTTCAGAGGATAATGTGCTGACAAAAGAGGCTTGTGCAGGACGTGTCGCAGGTGACACTTTACTAATCGCAGCTTTATTGTGACAAGCAGAGCCTGTGTTTTTAGTAAAAAACCCACACATGTAAACTCATCACCTTGCTTCCTCGCATACTGCTGAACTACACGAGCAAGTAGAAACTATTATTGAAACCACAGATTTTAAACAGTGTGTTGTTGCTAAATGAAGTGATTTTGTTGCACAACTTGTTTGGGTTTTTTCTTTTTGATTTTGAACATTCCTGTTCAAAGTTTGTTTCCTCTTAAGAAAGTTGCAGACACTCACTGTTATTGGAGAAATAAGTGACTTGCAAAGAGGTTGTTGCTGCAAATCATTGACTGGATTTCTTTTTAAAGCTGAAGGCAACAGCCAGAGACTATACGGCCTAATTTAATAACCAGATACATAAAGCAGATAATGTTTTAAACATAGGAATCAGTAGGTCTGTTTTTGAGGTTTAAAGTTCATAAAAATAAAAATTCCTTCTAGATTGTATTAAATAAAGTCTAATATTCAATGAAATGTAAATCTCATAAGAAGGGAAATATGTTTTGCAGTATTCATTTAATTAAAATCTTCATGATTTTTTAAATTTATTTGTGTGGGTCTGTCTAATCTTAGAAAATCGTGAAAAATGACAACCCATATTTCTCAAAGGCAAACATTTATTGATTTGTCAACAACACACATAGATATTAAAGGGTTACTTCACCCGTTGAAACATGAACCTGTATTGACATTGGGTCATATATGTAGAAATGTGAAATACATTTTGAAGTTGGAGCCTTCTTGGCTGAGAAAAGGCAGAAAGTGTCTTTTTGGCTCATGTGGATGAAAGACACCAAATCCCAGAATGCACTATGCCTGTGTCCATAGGCAAACAGTGAGAGCACTGACACTAACAGTCCGCCCCAGCTCGAGCCGGCCCGGGCTCCTCGTCCTCACCAAAACACAAGACCGGCCTGTCAGCAGCAGCCGTCTCGCAGCTATATTTATACTTTTTTCTCCATTATCAGCTTTCTCCATAGAGCCTGTTAGCATAGCTTCCAAGCAATATGGCGGACGTTAAGTTTTGATTCTGGGAGTGAGTTCCCACCCACTGATCTGTGATTGGTCTTCAGTGGTCGAAAATAGATAAATAAAGAATTTATTTGCAATAT